TACAGATGGCGGTACGGTTGTCAGCCTTACGCGCCGGTCGCTCTTTACCCCCCAGGAAGATTCCTGGTACTCATCTCTGTTAAGGCGCGTCCACATTACTCGTGCCCGTGCTCGTGTGACTCGCTATGCTCGCGAGTAATGTGGACGATATGACAAATCACGAGACAGACAAATTTTAAATTTTTAATTTAAAAACTATAGCCAATAAATTAAAATACGACTACAGCCTATACACACTACGAGTAAATATACGGATCCTCACGCGCCAAAGCCTGGCGAGCAACTGAAGTAGTGTGGACGAAGATTTACGAGCACAAGTAAAAGCCAGACGAGTCTTCCGACGAACACAAGCCTGGCGAGCACGAGCACGAGTAATGTGGACGCGCCTTTAGAGTCTGAGTCGATCCCAGTGCCATACTGCGGCTGGAAGGATTAGGTAAATTGAAAGAAATCCACTTCATCGGGACTCGAATCTGCGGCCTTCTGGCTTGTAGCATAGGGGCTCAAGCAACTACGCTATCGCGTGCCTCCACCGATGTAGTATGCACCACATTTTGTAGATATCCGCAAAGGAAAATATCTAGGAGATTAGTGAATAAGTTGACCAGGAAACTGGCCCCTGCCTTCTTATCCAGCAGGCAGTTAGCCCGCGTTCGAGCCAAGGTAGTGTGGGATTTTTGGTGGACAGAGTGGCGCAGGGGCAGGTTTTCTCCCAGTGGCTGATGTACCGAGTGATTCAGTCCCACCCCACCCCAAGAAATTAAAAAGAAAATTATTCGTAGAGAATCCGCCATCTTGTACGCGTCACATGTTCTTCAGCTTTCATTGGACGAACGCTGGTACGGGGATTCACATGTGAGCGTCTCGCTATGCGCACTTCTCCGTATTCCGCGGTCTACCGCAGAAGCAGAAGCAGAAGGGCGAACAATATCGGTCCCCCGATGCGATGATCAGTTCGCAAATCTGCAATAAGGTTAACTCTCCGCTACAACCCTACAGTTGCCGCAGAATTCCGTGTTCACGGAATATGTAGTCGTCCAGTTGCTTAACAAAGCAATTGCGACACTGAAAGAACATCACTTGACTGTACGTACAGTTCACAGGAAATGAATACTTCATGACTAGGGCCCGGATTTTTTGAAAATGCATATGCGCATATGCAAGTGCATATTTTGAGGGTTTCTGGTCGTTATTGCATATTCTAAACGTAAGAGCATAATTCTGCATATATGTTTGAAATTAAGGATAATTTCAATATTCACTAACAAAATCGGTTTTGCCTGTGTTTTGGACATCCCTTGCCAGTTGCTATTCTCAACTCTCTGAGTAACGACACTTTTACCACTTAACAATACAAGCAGGTAGCTTGGCTATTTCGAAAGGAAGGGGGTGAGATTTTCCTGCATCCCACTGACCACCACAGCAGACAGTAGCATCAGAGGGTTGGTCTTGAGAGAAGTCTCTTCAGTTAATGTGTTACTCTTTTCTTTAATATTCTGTATAAAGAAAGTGTTCGTGTACTGAGAATTCCTAAATAAAAGTGCAGCAGTAGATATTTAAAAAATCGTTAGGTGTCGGGTAATAGTGACGATAGTGACTGTTCAACAGACGGTGTCGTCGTGTACTGTCAAGTTTGCGCAAAGGAAGTAAAATGTGAAAAGAAATTTCAACTTGAACAACGCTCAAGAACGACTGCACATATTGCGGCAAAGAAGGGGAAGAAGAACAGCACACCACAACAGCTACTTCTTACGCAGGTCAAACCCAAATCCTCTGGTAATACATGTTCAGCCGATCTTTGTAAGACGTGTTGAAAGCAGCAAAGGCCTTACAAGTATTTTATCCAAATCTTATACACGTAACCTGTTTAGCGCACGGATTACACCATATTTCAGAAAAAATACGCGCACAGTTTCCAGCTGTTAACGATTTAATTGCAAGTGGGAAAACCCCATTTCTGGAAGCACCAGCTCGTGTCCAGTTCTACAAAGATTCCCTACCTCAGGTTCCTCTGCCACCTGAAGCTGTCCCAACTAGGTGAGGGACTTGGTTATCCGCAGTTTCATTTTAACAGGAGAATTTCAATCAAGTAAAAGAAGTGGTTACAAAACTTGAAGATGTGTATGCATGTGTCCATGAAGCAAAAGTGGTGTTTGGAAGTGATTCTGTTTATCAAGATGTGAATTTTATCCATGCACATTTTTCTACAGTTTCAAAAGACATTGAGAGCTTAGAATCTTGTGGTGCACTTGAACTCGTTCAGAAAGCAACTTGTTCACTGAATTCCGCTCCAGGCGAAATTGGAGAGAAGATTAAATGCAAGTTAGAAATGGTGTTGAATTCGAACCCAGGACTAAAAAAGATTCAGTCAGTCAGTACTTGAGTGGAATTAGGGTATCTTTGCCAGTTGAATGCTCCGAACCTTCGGCGCCAGTGTATAAATACTGTCCAATCACGTCAGTTGATGTAGAAAAATCACTCTCAGCCTATAAACTCATTTTGACGGACAATAGACGCAGTTTGTCTCCAGAAAACACTGAAAGACTTCTAGTTGCCTATTGTGACGCCACTTTCTGCAGTGAATGATACATGTAAATAGATGAGTCTGAATAAAGTGACCTGCTTAAGTGCATATTGTTTTATTTTTGGTGCATATTTTCCTACTTTTTAGCGCATACTTTAAGTGTTATAGCGCATAAAGATCCGGGCCCTGTTCATGACACATGTTAGTGCACGTGGTCAACTCACTCTTGCCGTAAACGTTACAACTGTATCTTTTGTTGTTAAATGGGGAAACTGGTATTTATAGGAAATAAGTTAGTCACTCACATCGTCCACTCTAAAACACCAATTTCAAGTTACTGATGTTGTCTTAGACAATTTCCTGTTAAAATTTTAATTGACTTTATAGCAGTTTGAGAACAATCTTTGCGAACTTAACTTACACAATGAGTTTTATAGACATTACTTCTGTGAACCGAACTTTGCGTTGTGTTGGTCCCTGCTTGATACCAGGAATGTCCAGCTATTCCGGCAGAGTGCTCACTGGCGATAAAGTGTCATTTTAGTAATAAACTAATATTCTGGTATCAGAACCCGAAGGCGATTCAGCACTACTAATACGAAAGCCCACGATCGGGCGCGATCTTTCTTCAGTTCCACCGACTTCCTGTCCTCGCAACATGTATCCGAAATAAACGCCTTAATTTCGTTCTTAAATCTTATGGGTATTCCATGTTCGCATTTTCGAAGATGTTTCCCCCTTCGGAGTTTTGTATGCACTCGTTTCTGCCTTCCTACCGCATCGTAGTGCCCTAAATTTCACTATCCTGTCATAGGTGACCTTTATAAGTCACCAAATTTCTTGTCGTCTAATTTTCTAATTTACTGACTTATGCCTCCCTATATCCAAATATTTCACCAAGCATGTTGGCCTTAAAATGCTGTCTCTAATAGGTCCCGGTGAGATCGATGAACTTTACATCTACCCTCAAGGGAGTCACAGATCATTATTTTGGAATCACTAGGATAATACCCAGTTTCTGAAGTACCACAGGTGTGCAGTATATGGCCGGCTGTAGAGCACTCCTGTTCGTGATGCGTGCCCGGCTAACATTCAGTAGTCGCTACCGGTTTCCAACTGAAACCATCATAGAGGATGCATGAAAGTATACCTTGACTCCCCGATGTGTCTTTATGGCGTGGTTCTTACTGCTACACAGGATAAACTTCGCCTTCTACTGTCTGACGGGGTGTTGGGAGGAAGTGATTTTTGTACGTACATCTGTTTATCCGTTCGTTCTGATTCTAACTGTAAGGGCGGCCGCACACCAACTGCATCAAGACAAGCATCAGGACATGGGACAAAAGAAGCAGTTTTGCTTCATTCGTGATTCGTCAGCATGAAGCTGACGTCAGACCGGTGTGCGGCGATTTTCATAATCGTTTCAACTGTGCTCCTTTCTTTGCGTCATGTCTCAGGCATCGTGTCTTGACTGTTATATGTCTTGGCTCATGCCGGTGTGCGGCCTGCCTAATATATTGTAGACAGAAGAATCATTTACCAAGAATGTCCATGGTTTTTCTCAGTCCCTGTAGTTATATGCTGAGATGGTACTTAATAAAATGGGCCACTGTTGCTTCCTGTAACATTCTTCCGATTCACAGGTCACAGCAATTCTATCTTGCATTCGATGTTACTGGAATTGATTCCACGGAGCAGAGTTCATCTTGAGAAGCTGTTACTCTCTTACCTCGGCAGGAAATTCCGCACCTATTGTGAAACTCGGATGCGCATTGCCGTGTAATAACCGTACTCCTCAGTTCTTCGTTATTTGATTTAAGGGTGCCGGGTCTCAGGGTCAGATCAGTGGATTTCAGGTTGAAAGGTACTCAAGAATATGACGGTTAAGGTCGTGGAGGTGGGAAGTATGTACCGTTGTTTACCACGCCGTAAAATAAATATGGATTCCACAGTACAGTCACTTCATTTCCCACTGTATAATGCACACACACACACACACACAACTCTAGTAATACATGAAGCACTGCTGATCATAAATGATTTGCTTTGATTTTCGGAGTGACTAACTGTATAACTGAATCACTGTTAAATGCTTGCCTCTTTTCTTCTGTAAATGACCTTATGTTCAAGTGAATAATATATATTTCTTTATGAAGCTCATTATGCAGTTCTCCCCAGCCTCATGTATCTTCCGCCTTATGTTCAGATAGTTTCCTTACCCTCCCATTCTCACACGCCTTCAGTGTAGCAGCTTTCTCATTATCCATAATAAGATATTAAGAGACTTATTAACTCCAGTGATAGTATACTGATGCAGATCGGAACGGTTATATCCTTGACCCTGAATCGTTATCTTCACGAATGTTGGGGGGGCTTTTACTGCAGGTTTATATCGATCCGTGTGCCGCTCTACAATAGTAGTTGTCCCCTTTTGTCTACTGTATGTGGATACAATGTGGTCTCCGTGCTGTTGCAGAATACGGCACATCCAGTGAATGGAGTTTACCAAACCCCAGACACTTCTCCGATGTCTGTGGACAATACTCAGGCGCCCCGCAAAGATGTACAACGGCAAGGTACGTGTTACACCAGACTTTCATAGCGTGGGTTCTGCAAAGTAAAATTGGCATAACTCATAAAATATATATATTACAGGAATTGTTCCCATGCAATAAACTTTATCAGTTTTGGAAACATTTTCTGACATTGTTGGTTACAGAATGAGGAAGTTAAGGTTAATTGTTGAGACCATGATTGGTAACAAAGCACAGTTCATAAGCTGTTAAAATCGTATGGATATTCATGTTTACGTCGTTTGTATTTCATTATATCACGAAATTTGTTTGCAGACAGCAAAATAAGAATTGTAGTGACACGGAACATTTTATATATTCAGTATACATTTAAATGATATCGTATGGCCTTTGTAACTTGTCTGTTATCTTCTAACCTCACGAATAATTAAAGGTATTATTTTAGTGCCAGATGCAAGAATGAGAAAGAATAATTTTGAATTTTATATTAAGAAAATACATTTTTATTTTCTACTTGTACTCTTTCGCACTGGGCACGCGGTAGCGCAGTTGGTTGAGACACTATGCTACAAGCCGAAAGGTCGCGGGATCGAACCCTGATGAGGTGAATTTTTTCAATTTGCCTAAAACTTCCAGCCGCATTATGGCCCTGGGGTCGACTCAGCCTGTAACAGAAATAAGTACCATGAATATTCTTGGAATGTTCTCGGGGGTAAAGGGCGGCCGGCGCGTAAGGCTGACAACCTTACCGCCATCTATGAGCCGATTGTATAGAGAATGTGGGAACCTCAACATCTCAACCCTATGGGCCTCCACGGCCTGTTACAGGGATACCTTTACCTACTTTTACCCTTTCGCACTAGTATCATCTTCGTAATCATGCTATGCACATGGGATGCCAGGTTGCTTACACAGCGCATGCGTATTGAACTTCTGTGTACGTACGTTCGTCTTCGGTTGTGACACCATCACTACATGGAATGTGTCCAGCTTCTGTTGTACGAGACGCCTTATCTGCGCAAGCATTCAGAAAAATGCTGTTACTTTCTAGTAAGAAGATTCGGCAGTGTCACTTGGAAGTTCGCCATTTTCGATGCGTAGACTGGAGGGATCCACATGAAGACATCAGAATGAAACTGATCTGCGGTTCCCTTATACTGAGTAGATTCGTGAATCATTTTCCATCGTCGTTTTAAAATATCATAGGTGTAAGTCCAGTGTACCTGGAATATTTGCTTTCCATAAGTGTCGTGGGATTTCTCGATCACCATAACTTCTGTTAGCCTCTGCTTCATGTAACTAATTCATTTCCGAATTATTTGATGGAGTTTTTTAAACAATTTTCCCCAATTTGTTATGTTAATGTGTATGACTACAAGGTCTAAACGCGTCTGTGATTCTGCTCGTATTTGAACATCGACATGTAAATCAAGAAATGGCGTGTGAATTGTCATGTTAAAAAAAAAAGAATTACNGTAAGATTTGAGGCTTTCACGGCGGTGACTATGAAGAAAGCAGTCTTCTGGGATTTGGCACCGTGTATATGTGGTTCCTCCGAAACGTCGGTTAACACCACATATACACGGTGCCAAATCCCAGAAGACTGCTTTCTTCATAGTCACCGCCGTGAAAGCCTCAAATCTTACATAGATACATGAAAATTGTCATTTTTCAGTTATTTAACCAATTTGTTATAGGCGCTGAGTTGGTTAGCATTGTTTCGATGAAGGAACTGATGAACTCGAAAGGGCTGCTGTGGAAGCGGCCGTGTCACATTGCAGGATACTGTCCCTCTGTTCTCTGGGGAGACTCCAGGAACCCACGATACTGTTCAGTCGGGATAGCCAGACCGAGGCTTCGGATACGCCCATCCCCGAGTATAAACGAAGTCTACTTTAGCCAACTCGCTCTGGAACTTACGTAAATTACAGTTGCATAACGCGAAGGTTAGCATCGATTCACATAAAGTAACGCCTCCGACGCGGAACGGGCAGTTAAGGGAACGGTAAAATATTGTCACGTGTTAGTGACTAGACACGGGATTTGGATTTTTAATTTGATATATTCAACTCATAAATCGTAACTATAAGTAACTATAGCGCTCTCGCAAATTCACGCATACGACTTCTCACTACAGCACGCTAAGTCTTCTTAGTTTGTGTTCACTAGCCGTTACTATGATACGACTCCCAACTCTGTAGATTTTTCAACTTACGTTGAACCTAAGTTCAAGTTTGCGAGTCGATGTCGTTATGGCCCCTGTTGCACACTCTATGGCGTCAAAGTTACATTTGTGGATAAAAATAGACGATTCCTTCACAATCGACGGTCAAATCGTAATATGTCGGGCTTGCAATAAAAACATTGGGTGTTCCATGAAGCCTCAGTTGGAACAACACGCAGGGAGCGCGCTACACAAAAAGAACAAGCAACTGAGTTCTTCATAGAAGCAAGTGCTCTTAACACAGTTACAGCAATCGTCGACCTAAAGAAACGAATTCTAAATATCTTCCGCTGGCGTGTCGGAGGGAAGGTGACGGGTCACTGCTTTGTTAGGCTTTTCGGAATGTGGGGAGAAGGTAAAATATCGGAGAGTATTTTTCTCCATGTAGGATTTCAATACTGAAGATTCCGCCATTTCTTTTGTTATGATACGGGATCCGTTTCGTATATTTCGGAGCTCGTACTCGCCTTTGACCCGGAATTTTAAGTCGCTTTGGAGTAGAATTAGGTTTGTGGTAGAAGTCATCACTATTGGTGGTGGCCTATCTGGTTTTCTGGCAGCCCCCTGCGTTCTCTGTTCCAATAGTCTCCGTGTCCATGTCATTAGTTCTGAGAGTAGCAGAGGCAGCTTGACAGCTGCTGATTGCGACTGGTTTAGTCGACTTCTTGGCTGTCTGCGAGGTATTATTAGAGACATCCCTCTTGCATATCTTTACTACATGGAAGTCGTCGTCCTGGGCCGTTGATTCCACCAAGGTTTTATTCACTACACCACTTTGTCCTGCCTGGGCACTCACCGTCAGGACGGCCTTCAGTTCATTCAGTATTACCATGTACGATGGTATATTCCGTAATGATCGCTAAAAGGCGGCTTCCCGTCTAGATATTTACAAAAGTTTGCTTTGTTGTCCTCCGCGCTATTTGCAATAGAGGTTCAGTCAGAGCTTTTCCCCACCTTAGCCGGTGTCCATCCTGCAAGATACTCGATGTCAATGAGTATTCTGTATATTTGTTGCACTACAGAAGCTGCTTCTGGCTATTTATTCGTGATGGCATGACATTCAGATTTCAGCGATGCTGACTTCTGTGTCCAGTATTTCCGGAATCCCGGTACTGGAACGTCCGCCATATTGGTGTAGACTCGAGTTCTTTTGATGATTCGCACAGCACTGCGCGTACCCGCGGCCACGCTGCAACCTTCACCTACAGCACCTTCGTAAAACAGGAGTTGGCCATGAACACACAATGTAATGTGAAGTCCGTAAAAATCGTGTCCAACACACGTTTCGTCCAATTCACTCAGTCAAATCAAGACATGGTGTAACTGACTGACGCTGTGACTGTGTCTGATGTCGAATGTCACTGCTGAGTGGTTAACAGGACCCTTTTGCTTAAATGATCATCACGCGTAACTTATTCTTAATGTGGGCAGTAAATGAAGGTGTGGTCAACTTCGCGTTCCTTCTGATATATCCCTGGGAAACAGCCCTCTGGGTGGGCATCAGAGCCGGTCTGAACGCGCTGATGATAATTATACGTGCCCCGTCATGAAGAGAACTCCAGGCCGGCTGAGGTACTGGCAGAAAATAGGTCAGCACAGCTTCACCATTCACAGTTTCTCTCGTTCAACACTATACAATGTGCGCATTTGAGAATGTTAATAAACTGCGAAGTTAATGTCACAGTTATCTTCCTAAACATGTATTGGCTTTGAGACTGCGTGAAGAGGTGTTTTGCGGACAGGACAAGCTTCATCTGATTACACAAGTATTCAGTGTGTAGCATTTTCTGCAGTGTTTTGTGACAGACTAATGATAAATTACATCTTTGAGGCATGAACATATACTGTGCTTTCCATTTCTTGAGAGAGATGCTCCTGACTGTGTGTATGTCCGTGTGTGCGCCTGTTTGCCTTGATGTCTCCTTTCAAGCGTTTTACCCAAGTATCTGATTTTTACGATAGTTTGTGTGAATGTTACGCCATCGGAAGCCACCCCCAACGAACTTATGATGTAGGAGCGACACTGACGCCATTTAATTTAAAGCCCTGAAAAGGTGAATCGTAATACATTTTTGGAGAACATTCGGCTTCGTTAAGGTACCTAAAGAATGGCGGCTGCCCCGAAGTTATGTTTATTCTTGGGTTTGACGGCGTCAGCTAATGAATCAGTATAACTAGGCATGCAAAATTTGTTATGGAAATAAATTATAAGCATTCCTATAAATTCTGAATGAATTATTATTTGAAAGTTAACAGTTGTGAACATGACGATTTTGCGAACATTTTCACTTACAACCTGACAAATTTAACTCGTAAAGAAATCTGTAATTGTATAATAATTTATCCCCGAAATAAGTCATATATAATAATAATAATAATAATAATAATAATAATAATCAAAATTATTATTATTATTATTATTGTAAAGACCCTTGGACTGTTAAGTTGGCACGCAAATAAATTAAAATTGAATTTTTATATTTGTAATTGTAAGCAAGACGGATTCTGACAGCTCGCAGTCGATCCTTCCCTGTCTGCACGTGTGCAGTACACTAGCTCACCGGCTGAATTGAATGACATCGTTCATTTACAAATTTGCCTCAGTTAAATATGTTACTAACAGCACATGATATTACTGAAAGTCTGCGCAGCAGAAAAGCAGGCATTATGAGTTCTGCCTGGAACTCTTTGTAGGCGCTCTAATAGTGTTTTGCTGTTTCTGATTGTATTTTCTAACCAAGTTCTTTTCATCAACATCGTGTGTGGTGATCAGTGTCTTCTTTACCCCTCTCTTTGTCGGAAGAATTGTTTGCTATTGTGTGATTAGGGGTGAACGTGTCATCAGTGGGCTGTGCCGTGTTCCACGAAGAGGAAATAGAGGAAGGTCTTCAGACGGGAATCGAAGTTGGGGCCGAGTGTATGGAGACGAGGCGACAAGGTCCCGTGGCGACTGTTGGGTCCAGATCGTCACTATCAAGTGAGTGCTGCATGTTTCTCGCTTGCTTACTGTCTCTCTCCCTTGTTGTATTTGAGCCTGATAGTTCAACGAATGCGTAAGGTAGGAATGAAGTGCTTAACAACATTATGGTATTAAATTCAGTTGTTTGTTTTTACGACTAACTCAACAGCTACAGAAACCAGTTACAGAATTAGCACAATCAAACAAATGAAAAACTAAGAAGCGGTACTGTTTTCACATACTAACTCAACAGATACAGAATTAGCACAATCAAATAACTGAAAAACGAAGAAAACGGCACTGTTTTTACGTACTAACTCAGCAGATACAGAAGCCAGTTCCAGAATTAGCACAATCAAACAAACGAAAAACTAAGAAAACGGCACTGTTTTTACGTACTAACTCAGCAGATACAGAAGCCAGTTCCAGAATTAGCACAATCAAACAAACGAAAAACTAAGAAAACAGTACTGTTTTTATGTACTAACTCAACAGATACAGAAACCAGTTAGAGAATTAGCACAATCAAACAAATGAGAAACTAAGAAAGCAGTACCGTTTTTACGTACTAACTCAACAACTGCCGGAGCCAGTTAGAGAATCAGCACAATCAAACAAACGAAAAACTAAGAAAACGGCACTGTTTTTACTTACTAACTCAACAGCTGCAGGAGCCAGCTGGACAGTCCAAAATGCTCACGGGCGCTCACAAAACGCAAGAGAAAGGCTTCGGTTTTGACTTTTTAGAGCGATACCACAAAGATGGCTATGAATTTCTCAGTCACATCGTACGAGTAGCCGGTGATGAAATCTTGGATTTATATTTGAACGTTGAACACAAAGAGCAATCAGCAGTTATAGCAGCGGGTGCACACACATACACCAAACAAGACGAAAAGTTTAAACAAACGTCTGCCAGACAGCTAATGGTAACTGTTTTCTGGGACAGGAAAAGAGTGCTGGTAGTGAAATTCATGCAACAAGGGACCACAGTAACGTCAGAAGTGTATTGCGAAACACACACAAAAAAAAAATTGCATAGGACCATTCAGAACAAACGGCGTGGAATGCTGACATTCGGTGTAGTGCTTCTCCGTTACGATGCTCGTCCGCATACAGCTGCTCGCACTCAACCGTTAGTGGAGCATTTCAACTGGGAGCTGTTTGACCACCCTCCTTACAGCCCTGCCCTCTCTCCGGGAGACTAACGCTTGTTTAGTCTGGCCTACCCAGAGCAGTGGTTGGGATCACAGTCCTTCAACAATAATGAGTTGTGCTCACAGGCGCTAGACTTCTTTATTATCGGCATGCAAAAACTTATTCCCTGATACAGGTGCCTAAATTCGGGCGGTGACTATGTTGAGAAGTAGCTTAAGTATGTACGTATTTTTGTATATAATATTTTTTTCTGAATGTTTGTTTACAGCTCGCCAGAGCTTACTTTCCGAATAGCTCTCGTAATTCAAATTTTGTTAAAATATTGTAGGTAAATACTTCGTTCCTCAGATCCTTCAATTCCTAGCTCTAACTTTTTCCTACTACCGCGAGTTTTCTAGACAGCGCTTCCATTAACCGAACTTAGGCAATATGACTTGGCATCACGTGACGGAAAGAGCTCCTGACGCCTTCACCGGAAGGTGCACTCTTGACGAAGGTTAATGTAGAGCAATAAATGAAATATTCTGCTAGCGCATGCGTGATACAGGAAAGTTCACAGTTATGCTTGTCATGGATAGATATTGTTCAGCGTGTTGGCGGTACGGCTGGAAGTGGAGCACCGTAACATTTCATCAGACTTAGCCGAAGTGTCTACTCGTCTGTCAAGAGTTCTAATCGCGTAGACATTTTGGCTTCTAAGATACAGGGTTTGTCCGGAAAGTAATGTAATTAAGTTCGTAAAAGAAATTATTCAAGATATCGTTACAGACGTTTAAAATTCTTCGTAGTACTCCCCTTGGGCATCCACACACTTTTGCCAGCGACTATTCCATGCACGGTACGCATCCTGGAAGGCGTCGACAGGGACCTCGTTTAGAGCCTTTGTCACGGCGGTTTGGAATGCTTCACGCCGCACCCTCTGTCCGCTAAAGTTGGTACTAACTTCGCCAACAAGCGGCGGTCGCTTGGTCGGTAGAGTTCGCTTGCGGACTACAGGCCACGGATTTTTTTTTCGTTTATTAATCTAGCCGTTAATGTAACATGTTGGCAATCATTATTACAACTGTATGATCAATAAAGTTCCCTAAGAATTTCAAAGACATGCTTCTGCTCCAGGTGTTAATAACAAAAGGCCGTATGTAAGTTATCCGTGCTAAAAATTGAGATAGCGTATAATAATGTGAAGATGATGCTGAAGTGGAAGGACAGAGCTGCAGTATGTTGGTGCGTTTGTGGGGCCCAAGTCCTTCGCAGAACTCTGCAAACTCAACGGCGTGTGATACACGGCACTAGTGCGATGGTACACAATTCGCTTTGAAAAAATTCCTGATGTACTGTATTTAAGCCGACACTTCGCGGCACACCTGCTGGTCAACACCATTCTGTGCATAAGAATGATGCAAGGATCATGCTTACTTTATTTACCAAGTACATTGTTACAAACATCATTGTTGAAGTTGTTTATGTATAATTGTTTGCATATCGATGTTAGATATACCACGTTATGATTGTCAGTTTTTCGAACTTTGTATTCTCACTGCGTGCAAGTATTTTGGCTTTGTATGGAATTACCTCCATTACCCCTTGATTAGGGGCACGCGGTAGCGTAGTTGGTTGAGGCACTACTACAAGCCGGACGGTCGCGGGTTCGATTTCAGATGAGGTCATCGGATTTTTCCAATTTACCTAATCCTTCCAGCCGCAATATGGCCCTGGGGTCGACTCAACCTCTTAAGAGAAATGAGAACCAGAAATATTATTGGGGGGTAAAGGGCGGCAGGCGTGTAAGGCTGATAACTTTACAGCCATCTATGAGCCGATTGTCTAGAAAACGTCGGAACCTCAACATCTGACAACCCTATGGGCCTCCACGGCCTGTTACAGGGATAGTTATACTATTTTTTTACCCCATGGCGAGTCTTCATGTACGTCCTGTGGATCGAAGGATCCCCGGGTCAGAACCCCGACCTTAAAGTTACAGGCCCTTATTGATTTCCAAAATTAGCAGCCCCTAAAAGATTCGTTAAGCCTGTTTCGGTCATCAGTGAAACAAAGATGCAATTTTCACGTTTAAAGTGAGCATAGCAGGAAATAAAGATATCTTCGTGGTAGATTTTTTTTATCTAAGGATCAACTGTGTGAGGGCTGATGTACACAGTGTGTCCAGGTTCTGTTAGGACTGTTCATTAAAAATACAAGACGTGAATTATTTTAAAAATTTCACTCTCTTTATTCAAAATAGTCTCCTTCTGAATCAATACATAGCTGGAATTGATTGAAAAGTTTCGAAAACAGTCACTGTACTCCTTTTGTGGAATCGCATTTCAAACTGCCGTACAATTGCTCTGGATGTCCTGCATGGTGTCGTGACGGTCTCCTTTCATCGCCAACTTAACTTTCGGGAACAACCAGAAATCTGGCGGATACGGAGGATGATCAAGGACTGTGATCCCTTTTGTGGCCAAAAAATCGCCCACGATCTTCGATTTTTGGGGCGGGGCATTGTCGTGGAGGAGCGACCAGGAACCTTGCTCTCGATATTCAGGTCGACTTCGAAGAATTCTCTCCCACAATCGATTGAAGACTTCGAGATAATAATCAGAATTCACTGTTTGACCTTCTGGCAGAAATTCCTTGTGAATGATTCCTTTGGAATCGAAGAAAACGGTTAGTAGTGTCTTTACTCGACTCTTTTGCATGCGCACTTTCTTTGGTTTCGGCTTCTTTGGGCTCAACCACACTGCACTCTGCCGCTTTGTGAGAGGCTCATATTGAAAACACCATGTATCGCCACCAGTAACAATAAATTTTGTAAATTTTGCGTCACTTTGGGCCGACCTTAACATGTCTTTGCAGTCTTCCACTCTGCCATGTTTTCCATCGCCTGACAATGCGTGCGGTACAGACCGCACACAGACCTTCCGTTTGCCCAAATCCTCGATCAAAATTTGATGCGCAGTACTTTTTGGTATTCCCAAAAGCTCTTCGATGAGTCTTGCAGAAACACATCTGTCTGATGCAAGGATTTCGGTCATTGTTTTTTTCACATTTTCTTCAGTGGGACTTGTTCTCGGCTTTGATGCACGTGAAGCGTCTTCAATGTCATCCCTGCCGTCACGAAGTACAGCATACCATCGAAAAATGTTCGAGCGATTCAAAGAATCACTACCGTACACACTTTTCATCATTTCGTACGGTTCTCCGGCTGTTTTGCGTAACTTAAAACAAGATTTGATGTTGGCTCTCTGTTCAACCGCCATTTTCCGACGAGCGTCAGAACAGTACTGTTACGTTCAAGGTCAGAAAACATGATACAGCGATGCTTGTGGTTTGAAATTATAGACAGCCACAGCTGAAACTTCAAGAATCTTAACGTCATAACTCGCCAGCAGATGGCATTGCAGGGCAAAAAAAACAAAGTCCTAAAGAATCCTGGACACACGATGTATGTGTTTTGCCTACCCCTCCGTGACATTATGAATAGCTCACCATTCTTCATGGAACTGTATAGGAAGGTAACAGCGATGCCACTTTTGTTCTAAATTCCTGCGTTCGATTACAAAAGGTTGATTAACTCCATCCATTGTGACTGAAGGTGTTCGATTGAACCATATATGTGTATTGGTTCATAGTTGTTTCCTTTTCGTATTGATTTACCAGTTTAGCTTGTCCAGCTTCGATAAATTTGATTTTGATTAGTCACACTGGACGGAATTAATTAACCTTTTCTAATACTGTTCGTGTGACGTACCAGGATGAAACAAATCAAACTGCATTCGATGACTGTAACATGTCTGCCGCGCTTACCTGGAGGCTGCTTATGGCGTGCAGCCATAAGGAGGTGGCAGGGTGACATAATGCAAAAGCTACGGAAGGCTGGGACAGCAGAAGTACCGCTGGATGCCATAACCGGGGAACGGCACATCGCCTCATCCCGAAGACAAGCACTCGAGCAACAGTCAGCATACCTTTGGGAGTATTATAGCTACGGCATTATTGCGGGGGGGAGGTTGTGTGGGACGGTGATTGGTATGCATCGTAATTAGGCACCTTAAATTCTGTATGGTGGAAGATTATACAAGTTAACGCGTTTGTTAGTGTTACAAACACGATGACGCCAAACTTGACGTGGCGCTGGCGGAAGAGTCCCATAGATATTGCCACCTGTAAATGGCCGCATGGCGTTATCCGCTTGGATCATATCACTAAGTGGCATGTTCAGTCATCCTCTGTAGGCTGTCGTGCCATCGCGTACGCTTCTGATGACCCATACTTATATGGCGTCCGTGGTGTAAGAAACGTATTATTCAATTAGAAGCATCTAGGAATTACACTGAATTCGAAACAATCGCCTACCATAGAATATTATGAGGTTCTTATAACACTGAGTAGTGCTGGAAAAAGCTTTGGCGTTTCCAAGGAACTTAACGAAACGTCGAAATATTGCTGCAGTAACTCAAGGCGTTGAAATCTTGTTCTGCACTAATTGTTTAGGAGCTCACTTAGTTTCCTATCTTTTTTTATTTGTATGCCACATGTATCTATGTTATATTCGGCCATCTTGTCTTCTTTCTACCTGTAGTGTACTGTTTCCTCTCATTATATTTGCTGTCTTATATATTCGCAACTAAAATTCGTTCTAACGGCCACAGTATCAGGTTTTGCCATCGATGTTCTGTTTAGGTATCAGACTGTCAAGTGTTCGAAGTAAGATTGATCGGAGTTCATCATAAAATCCGTTTGACAACAGATGGCAGTAAACTAAGCACGGGAAATCACCACATACTGCACAACGGAATGCTGATTATCAGTGCGAGGCTTCATTTGTAGATTGTTGCTGATTTAGTACGAGGTGTTACTATCATCAGAATGTTGTGGAATTTTTATAAAGCCACAGCTATAATGTCACTGCCCTAAGGCTAGAACATTGATTGACGATTCTAAGAACAGCGATCAGAGGAGAATAATTGGCCCGAAAAGAGGAGTTAACGGAAAGATGGAGAAAACTTCATAGTGAGGAACTTCATAATTTGTACTCTTTGCACAATATTATTTTCTTTTTCAGTGACTCTTCCAGCCCATTAAGGGCCCTGGGCGTCTTACTCAGTTCCGTAAACATTTTTCACAGACGGTAGGACTCCTAGGGCGAGTGAACAGCCCGTCGCAAGGCCGCTACCCACACAGGACATCACAGACACAGAATAAACGCATACAAGTACCAAACATCCATGCCCTCAGTGGGATTCGAACCCATGATCCCAGTGTTCGAGAGAGCGAAGACAGTTCATGCCATAGACCGCGCGGCCACTGTGACCGGCTCATAATATTATTAGGGATATAAAAGGAGGGCGGGAGATGACACTCATGTGGAAAATGAGAAAAAATATAACAAAATTTAGTTCGACAAGCCAGGTGTGAAGAGACTAATTGAAAGTCTCGGGCATAGATGGGATCGAAAAGAAATAGGATGTAAGGGTATGGACTGAATTAAAGTGGCTTAGGATTGTTCCAGTGGCGCGTTCTTGTGAACACGGTAGTGAACCGTTGGATTCCATAGAAAGCTGTGCATTTCTTGTCCAGGCAAACGCTCATCAAACGCTCATCAACTTCTCAAGAAGGGTCTGTTCCATGGAGTTAGTTGACGATAATGATAAATAAAACATTTATAGAGTGCGTCACAATTTTATGCAGAAGAAAGTGCCCCATTTTCGCCCGGAGATTACATGTATATTACAATAGGCTCTTGTATTAAAGAAATCATAAAATTTCTCGTGTGACTGGTTAATCATATCCTTGTTCAGAGCTGGAGTGTGTACGAGCGCAGTGCACTGCCTGTGAAGCAGTCTGCTGCTGTAGTTTGAGCCGTCGGGATGTACGTTAGCGTAGTCGGGTTCCGACGTTTTTCTCACCCTCACTCCCTCAGTCTGCTTTACCGTTTCTCACGGTGTTGTCGCTTGCAGATTTATTATACTTTTTCTTCTACCCTGAAGATGGGGGCGATACGTTCCTCCGAAACGTCGGTTAACACCACATATACACGGTGCCAAATCCCAGAAGACTGCTTTCTTCAGAAAGAGGGAAGTTTAATAGTGATATCGTCACTATTACCCGACACCTACCGATTTTTTAAATATCTACTGCTGCACTTTTCTTTAGGCATTTTCAGTACACAAACACTTTCTTTATGCAGACTATTAAAGAAAAGAGTAACACGTTAACTGAAGAGACTTCTCTCAAGACCAACCCTCTGATGCTACTATCTGCTGTGGTGGTAGGTGGAATGCAGGAAAATCCCACCCCCTCCCTTCCGAAATATCCAAGCTACCTGCTTGTATTGTTAAGTGGTAAAAGTGTCGTTACTCAGAGAGTTGAGAATAGCAACTGGCAAGGGATGTCCAAAACACAGGCAAAACCGATTTTGTTAGTGAATATTGAAATTATCCTTAATTTGAAACATATATGCAGAAATATGCTCTTACGTTTAGAATATGCAGTAACGACCAAAAACCCTCAAAATATGCATTTGCATATGCATTTTCAAAAAAATCTGGGCCCTCATCATTATTTGCTCCTAGCAGGGCTGTGTAATCCGCGAAGTTTGCGATTGTAATGTTGTTTGTTATGGGCAGGTCTGCAGTATAGATAAAATATTGTAGAGGCCCAATCACGCTTCCTTGCCGTATACCTGACTTCTGGGAACACGCTGAATATGAATGATTATATTTTATTTGAAAGCGTCTTTCTGTGATGTATGACTTTAAAAGTAGGTAGTATGGGCTGGGGAATATATTTTTGATTTTATATAGTAGTCCAGTGTGCCAGACCTTGTCAAACGCACGAGCTACGTCAAGGAAAACTCTCAACAATGGCTAGGCCTTCTTCACTCTCCGTTTCGACATAGTAAAGACTTAACCGTTGTTGAGATCTGTTACCTAGCAGCGACTAGTGTAAGCAGACGCTGAAGGCTTCATTTATGCGCTCTAGTTACAGTAATCATCAGAGTTTTATAATTACTTCTACTTATGACATGTGAGTAGCCTAAAAATCGATTCACCAAACCAAACCCCGTCTGCAAGTTACTAATACACGTGACAGTATTGAGTATAAATAGCAACATCTACCTTCATATATTTACCGTTAGATTTTACTTGTGACAGAATTGCGTGTTGACTAAATCTGACGTCATACCTCAGAAAAGTTTGAGGTGCAAGTTATTTCCCGCCTCCGGCATTGAGCCAATACAGCTCTAGAATCACAGGTTGGAATCGCACCCAGGACACTGGTGTCTGTGTTTTGCTTTGACTACATGATTCTATTTCCAGTTCTGGTCTTCTTCCATGTAGATTTAACAGGACTTAAGTGTCCGCCGAAGTAATTTCCAGGTTTGAGCAAAACTAGGGGAGATTCGGCGAAATGCGCCATCTTTGTGGTGCTGGTGCTACTTATGCCTACTAAGAATTGATGTAGTATTGGACGTTACAGGTCTGAGTGCTGCGGGCACGAGCCACAGACCAAGCATGAATCTGATTGTGCCTGCAACTTCATACTCCAGTTCGGAAGAAGAAGATTTTTACGATGCCAACGAATACAGTGACACTCCCAGCAGCACGACCAGTCCAACCATGTAAGTTGTAGCATATTTCCTGTGTACTGATTCGTAAATTGTTTGACATATCATTTATTTGGTCAGTAAAGTCCAGGAGGGTAAACATTTGTTCAGGGAGTCTACAAAATATTGGTTTAACGAAACGGAAACTAATAGTGACACGTGAAGTAGGGTAACAGAGATAAAAGAACATAAGTTGCAGAAAAGCTATTTATAATTAGTATTCCCACGACGATGCTTTGCGTAGTGCAATGTTTGGTCTAAATTTGGTGCCCAGCGAGGGGACTTCCCGTGTAAGACTTTCGGACAAGCACTGCCACAAGAGTGCAGCACAGGACTGATAGGAGAAAACAAACGAAGAATTTTCTCTTTGCGATTAATGAACAGCGAACTCACAGATTAATTAATTTGGAAAATGCAGTGCTATCGCCTCAGGGCTCCCTGACAACGGTTCGGCATCTTAGGCGGAAATGGCAGATGCTTCTCTTATCAATTGTGGCCTCACAGGTTCGATGTGATGGCTGACTCGACAAACCAAGAGCCTACAACATTGCAATATCTCTTTAATGACACCCCAGTAAATTGCTGAACAGTCACATTGATTCAAGCTTACGTGTTATATGCCTACCCATCGTAATCTTGAGCCCCTCTTACTGTATTTGCATATACTATCATTCGTGTTTCTTGTGTCGATATGCCATGTGTGAGTCAGGCCAACACAACGGAGAAAGTAGTTGTGTAAGAAAAACAAGGAGGAGATTTCAGCGTTAATTTCAGAATGTTGCAGTACCGTTCAGTTCACACAGTCGTAAGTAAATGAAGACAGACAAGGGCGTTATTGGACAAAGAAGAACCTCATCAAAAGACCCGATGTTCCTTAGAGAGTAAGTAAGTAAAGTGAAGCTATTCCTGTAACAGGCCGTGAAGGCCCATAGGGTTGTGAGATGTTGAGGTTCCCACATTTTCTAGACAATCGGCTCACAGATTGCGGTAAGGTTGTCAGCCTTACGCGCTGGCAGCCTTTTATTCCGCAAGAAGATTCCTGGTACTCATTTCTGTTAGAGGCTGAGTCGACCCCAGGGCCATAGTGCGGCTGGAAGGATTAGGTAAATTGAAAAAATCCAATGACCTCATTGGGATTTGATCCCTCGACTTTCCGGCTTGTAGCATAGTGCCTCAACCAACTACGCTACCGCATGCCCTCTGTTCTCTGAAGAGTATGGGATGAAATCGGTGCAAAGCCTGACCTTCTCGAGTGTCCTTCACACGGTTTGCACAGTGAGCATGTGCTCACGCTGGTTCCTCGCTTGCGGATTTTCTTATTCTTTCTTCATCCCGTAAGATGGAGGCGATACTTTCCTCCGAAACGTCGGCTAACACAATATATACACGGCGCCACATCCCAGAAGACTGCTTTCTTCACGTATAAGACTGTTCGGCTTCACGACCCAGAAGACCACAGTCTGTATTATCACTCCACGTGTTACTGGTTTTCTCAGCTTAGGAGCACCTACAGACTTTGATACCGCGACAACAACCTTTCCGGTGATAGTGCTTTATGTATTATTAATTAGTATGCCCGTGTGAACTCACATTGATATCGCACTAGCTGTTAAAATCAAAAGTTTAAATGTATGAAGCAAAAATGGAGAGTAACTCAACAGCCTTGTATGATACAGACCGAATGCCATAGTCCAATCGATAACTACTTCGTATTCGGGAAGGCTCGGGTCCAAACATCGGTCCGGAGATCGGCTGATTTGAGTGCCTTATTTCGTGATTTTTATGGCTCTGCGGGCAAATACTGAGATAATGCTGGTGCCTGAGATTTTTTTTTGCCATGACCGCGCCCTGACTTATCCTTTCCAGCTCATTGTTGACTAATCATCGTGTCATGGGAAGCGATGTGGTCTGAGTTACTCACGCTGTCGTTAAATAAATCATAAACAAATGATGTAATGAATAAATAAATGAAGAAACGTAAGATTTGAGGCTTTCACGGCGGTGACTATGAAGAAAGCAGTCTTCTGGGATTTGGCACCGTGTATATGTGGTAACTGACGTTTCGGAGAACGTATCGCCTCCTTCTTCAGGGTAGAAGGAAAAAATATAAGAAATCCACAAGCGAAGAGACCTTGAGACCGGTTCTCACGGTCTCTTCGCTTGCGGATTTCTTATATTTTTTCCTTCTACCCTGAAGAAGGAGGCGATACGTTCTCCGAAACGTCAGTTACCACATATACACGGTGCCAAATCCCAGAAGACTGCTTTCTTCAAATGAAGAAACATTTGAGGAAAACTACATATTTCTGTTATACAGGGTGGAACCAGGGCACGCGGTAGCGTAGTTGGATGAGGCACTATTCTACAAGCCGGAAGGTCGCGGGTTCGATTCCTAATTAAGTCACTGGATTTTTAAATTGTCCTATTCTTGCAGCCGCACTATGGCCCTGCGGTCGACTCAGCTCTAACAGATATGAGTACCAGCAATCTTTCCGGGGGGTAAAGGGCGGCCAGCGCGTAAGGCTGACAACCTCATCGCCATCTGTGAGCCGATTGTCTAGAAAATATGGGAGCATCGACGTCTCGAAACCCTGTTGGTCTCCAAGGCATGTTACGGTGGTAGCTTTAGCTTACCTTATCTTTACGATGGAACCTGCTTAGAATGCACAATGTTTATAACTTCGGAAGGTTATTCCTGGGTCCATTCTGAGTGAAAAAAATATTATAATCGCATGTGTACCATTCTCGGTGGTTACAGAACTGTGGATAGGGAAAGCTATGTTGATTTCAGTACGACAGACACGTTTATTGTAACAAGAAATGGCAGTAGTAGTACATGATTTTACGTACCCTGCAATTTCGCTGCTGCAAAGAATATTCATAATGTCTTGATTTCAGCCTCTGTACATATTCTTGCCAGTTTTGAGGTTTTCACGGCGATGACTATGAAGAAAGTCGTCTTCTGGGTTTAGGCACCGTGTATTCTTCGTTTTGGCCGACGTTTCGGGGGAACGTAGCGCCTCCATCTTCAGAGCAGTTGAATAGCTTGGAATGCAGAGAGCAGTAGCTGTAGTGATAGGATGTGAAAGGCGCTGCTTATATACGAATTAGGCAGGAGGGTTGGTTAGGGAGAACGGACCAANCCCCCCTCCCTTAGCACACAACACCATATATGGTCTTAATCGCTCTCCACTGCTCCCATTGGTCCGTTCTCCCTAACCAACCCTCCTGCCTAATTCGTATATAAGCAGCGCCTTTCACATCCTATCACTACAGCTACTGCTCTCTGCATTCCAAGCCATTCAACTGCTCTGAAGATGGAGGCGCTACGTTCCTCCGAAACGTCGGCCAAAACGAAGAATACACGGTGCCTAAACCCAGAAGACGACTTTCTTCATATTCTTGCCAGCTTTACAACAGAAAGTGTACAGCGACGTAGAGAACCTCAATCACTGATGCGTGTGGCTGCATCTATAGTGATAGGAATTAAGTCCTCACGTGTGTCCACGTTGCGTTCATAAACAAGATCTTTCACGAACTCCTACAGAAGGAAGTTAAGGGGGGGTGAGGCCAGATAATCGTGGTGACCAATTCTGCGGACTCCTACGGCCAGTCCAGCGACCACGAGAGTGCTGATTCAGACACTGCGTCACGTGTCTGCTGTTTGTGGTGACGCTGCCGTCATGCAGGAAGTACATTTGTGTATTCCATGTTGTCAGAGGAAGTATCTTCAAACATATCTAGCAGCTAACATTCAAAAGAGCCCTCGCAAATTGCACCTGTCAGCCATCCCTCCAAGAAGAAGGGCTAGTACAAAATACATGCCTGTCGTTGATTCTTCTCCTCGGAAATCGTCTGTAATATTCCTCAACATCAATAGGAGCACTTCCATTTCAGAAGCCATGTCTGCGGCATTCTTCCTTACTTAATATAAACATATTTTCCAGTCGGTTCTAAAGGGTTCTGACGATGGTGTATAATACTCAAGAGTTACCTGGTTTTGGGGCTTTGTCCATCGTCCGGTATTCTTAGAGACTAGATAACACAACGTTACGAAACTGGATCTGTTTCCTCCCTCATATGAAAGGGGGAGACACACTGTTGGGTCACTTAGAAAGAACTAACCTAATCACTCTTTGTAAGGGACCCAACAGAGTAGGGACGAAAACAGATCCAGCCTCCGAAATGTTGTGTTTTCTAGTTTTTAGAATACTGGACGATTGATTAAGTCCAAAAAGCCAGTAATTCTGGGCATATCTGCCATTCAGGTCCATTGTACCGAATCACTGTTGTACAACATGATAGTTGCTACGTTACTGAAATATGGACCTACATTCCAACGCATTTGCATTGTCACACCCTCACGTTTCAACACACACACACACATTATTTGCCTCTAGCCATAGCTCTGTAACCGTTGAGAATCGTACCTATGTTGACATAACATTATGAGATAATCGTTCATTGTAGATAAGTTGAAACAAGGCATAAAATGCATCCCTTGAAAATGTGGCACAGTTAAGATATTTGGGAATGACAGTAACACATCAAAACCTGATTCAGGAGGAAATTAAGAGGAGTCTGAACTTGGATAATGCTTCTTACCATTCAGTCCAAAGCCTTTTATCTTCTCGTCTCTTGTATAAAAACGCAAAAACTGGAATATACAAACCGTAACTATGCCTGTGGTTCTGTATGGGCTTGAAACTTGGTCTCTGACTTTAAGGGAGGAACATAGACTTAGGGTGTTTGAGAACAGGGTGCTGAGGAAAAACATTTGGACCGAAGAGAGATGAGGTGACAGGAGGTTAGAAAAACTGGATGAGAAACTTCATAATTTGTACTCTTCACTAATTATAATAAGAATCGTGAAGTCAAAGAATACGAGATGGGCAGGGTATGTAGCACGAATAAGGAGAAGCGAAGTGCATATAGGATTTGGGTGGGAAAGCCAGAAGAAAAGAGACCACTAGGAAGACCAAGACATAGGTAGGTGGATAATATTAAAATAGACC